AGATCAAATTTTCAACAAGAGGTGATTTTGAGAATTGTATACAATGTTTACAGAAACCTATAGTTCTTGTGGTTATTCCAAAACCATAAAATATTATTCTAACATGATCAAAAACAGTAATTTATGTAATCATAATGTAAAATGAAGGGTAAAAGAAATAGAATTGATTTGTAAAAATAATCAAGCAAATTGTTTTTATATTAGATTTAGAATATCAATTATAATAATGTGAAATAAATGATTACATTTAACATTTACATATAAAAACCATAAACTACTTTGTAACAGTAAGGCATGTTTTAGTCAGTTTAAGTTCTGTAAAGCTAAATAAAGTGACACGTATTATATGAAGGAACTTCATTGAGTGTGTTTCACAATCAGGTCTCTGGATTCAGTTTCTCAGAGAGCTCCGATCCGTTGTCAGGAGCTGTAAGGTCAGAAACAAACAGCGTCAAACAGTGAAAGTCCTCTCATCCTGCACTCAACTTTTATAAACAGTAAATACAGGAAACAGTCTTTAAAAGTTCATCTGCACAATAATGTGAAACCCTGTTTAATCTACAGCATAAAGTGTGTGTCAGATCAGTTGAAAAAAATAAAAGCAGGTTTAACTTACGAGATGGAGGGCATTTGGCTGAAATCAAAACAAAAGACAAATCATTTCTTCACCTTATCCCCAGTGAATATGATCTTCTCTTCTACTCACTAAAACTACTCATCACTGTTTACATTTATGATGTCCTATTTATTCTCCTGTACAGCACTTTGGTCAACTTTGGTTGTTTTTAAAGTGCTTAACAAATAAAGTTGGATTGGATTGGATTGGATCACTTCTCTCCCACATCATCTTGGTAAGGTCAAATTATCATGACTCACAGGCTCTGAGCCTGACACTGCTTACTGTTGGTTGCTTTAAATTCTGTGGTGCAGGGAACTGATGCTTGTTTCTGTTGTGCAACCTGGATAAAAGCATCAACTCAAAGACTAAAATATACTGAACTGAAATCTTTCCATTTTCTCTCTCACCTTTCTTCTTTTTGTAAGCCATGAGTCCAACTGCAGTGATGAGGATGAGTACAAGACCAACTGCTGCAGCAGTGATGGGCACGGTCATGTCACTGGACTTCTCTGTTGAACAAGAAAGCAACCAAATAAAAACAAGATCAGTACAGATAAAGGACAGAAGTGCATCCATCCATTCAACAGTTTATTAATGCGTACGTATGGGTTTGTTCCTGTGGACTACTAGTATAGTATAAGATGCATAGACTAGTGTATTGATATTGTTATTGATCGTCCTGGATTCACCTAACTGTATAAACTTAATAAGGAACCAATAAACAATTTCTAATGTTTCTTAAAAAACTGATTTTCTGAAAATTCTGGCCTTTTTATCCTTTTCAATAAAGGACATTTTCAGTGCTGTTTGTCAACATTTTCAGTTACTGTATTGTGATAGAATGTTATAATTCCTTATACTGCGATAGAGGATTTCGGCTATATCGGCCACCATTATCGTGAGTCACCACAACCACGAGAGGTCCTTGAGCACACAGTCATACATGTGTACAAAAGAAATGAGGCTGAGGTCCACTAGAATGCGAGGTTATCTGTAGATGGATACAAACACAAACCACCAACAGACATGCAGTCCCATTCAACACACTCTAATGTCAGTCTTACCCCAGTTGGTCCTGATCTCTGCTTTGTCCAGTTTGGTGACGATGTCGTTCTTCACACCAGAGAGCTGAAACACACAGTCGTACCTCCTCCAGTCTTCAGGTGTGACTGATAAAAGGTTCAGGTCAACACTCATCTGGAAGGATCCATCGTGGTTGGGGAGGATCTCTCCGTGGTCCACGTCCTCATGAATCTCCTCTCCATCTTTCCTCCAGAACATCAAGGCACTGTCAGGGTAGAAACCTGTAGCGTGGCAGCTGACTGGAGAGGAGGGAGTCTTCTGGAGGAGAGACACTGAGGGAAGCTCTGGAGGAGAGAGAGAGAGAGAGAGAGAGAGAGAGAGAGAGAAACCGGATAGGGGGTAGAGAAAGACAAATTCAAGAGGGAGGAATCAGGGAAAGAGAAAATGGGACAGATATAAGCAATTAAAGACATGCTGCATCTATCTGTATTATGAGTCATTTTAAATTACAGAGGTCAAAGTCAGTCAGGTCAAAAGAAAAAAAAAAACATGTCAGTATATGACCTCTGATGGTGGTAGAAGATAAGCAGTAATCCACCTCAGGTATGTTAAGCAGCCTATGCTAGCAGCTTAGAGCACACACAGAGTTAACTGAACCAATGATGAACTGTGATGACATGTTCAGCTGCATGTCATCCTTCCACCGCTGGCTCAAGGTGGGGTCCAGATGTCCAGCTTCATAGACATTTGGCTGACTTTCTGGGGAAAATCTGGTCTGATTAGGAGAGACAGCATCCATCCCACTTTGGACAGAGCAGCTCTCTTATCTACAAATCTGACTGTTTATTACTGAACCTAAAACCTGACAACCCAGAGTTGAGAGCAGGAGGCAGAGCTGCAGTCCTACACGCTTCTCTGCACTTTAGTTAGAGCAGATACCCACCCAGAACCCCACAGAGACTGTGTCCCCTGACCACTTCAATTATTTAAAGAGGAAGTAAAGGGAAGAAGAGTTAAACACATAAACCTTATAAGAATTTAAACCAACTCTGCAACAGCACAAAATAAAATGATTAAATATGGACTGATTCATGAATTAATATCAGATTATCATACAGATTTCTTTAGGCTTACTGAGACCTGGCTGTGCCATGAATAATATGTTAAAGGAATATATTAATTAAAACATAGGAGGTTAAACCCATGGTATTACCACCTGACTAAAAAAGACATTTTAAGGAAAAGAAATAGTCTTAAAGCATACAGAAAGGGCCTCTGTAATGCCAGAGCAGCCTACTGTTCATCATTAACAGGAAAAGAGGAACAACCAGGAATCTTTTCAGCACTGTAGCCAGCCATGTATTCCTTTATCTATCAGCAGCAACGACTTCATGACTAAATGAATCCCCTCCTGCTCTCAACAGGAACTGATGTCTCTTTTAACACAGGAATCTTAACAGCTGTAAACCCATATATAAATTAATTAACTGATTTTCTGCTGTCAACCACCAATCAACTTCAACAATTGCTTCATCTAACCCATAAACTTGTCTCTTAAACCCCATCCTAAATAAGCTGCTTAAAGAAGTTTTACCCTTAGTTGGCATTTTTTTTTTACCAGATATGATCAAAGGCCTTAAGGACACAAAAACCTGGATGACCTAAAATGTTCTGATGTTAAATTTGGACAAAATCAAAGTTGTATATAAATAGAACTTTGTTTTTGTCCTATATATATATATATAAAATAACAACAAAAAAACTGACAAGAGCACCGTTAAAGTAAGTAGTAAGTAAAAGTAGTACTGTTAAAACCTTAATGATACCATCCATACAATCTGTGTAAACTTACTTACCTCATGCTAGTGGTGCACTGTCTGGCTATCACAGTATCAGCTTTGATGGAAAGTAATGTAGAGCACCTACAACTGTCAGTCTCTACTGATTGTTCAGGGCTAAATCAAATAATACCTTCAACAGCCAAAAATAAGATAACGTCAAACTGATTGGAGTAATAATACAATGGCAGTTCAGTCTGAGCAGATTATAGGAACATTGTTGTGTTCATCAAACTAAATCAGGTCATGTGATTCTACCTTTTCTCTGCAGAGAGCTGTTGCCATAGTCCACATACTTCTTCAGGAAGGCAGGAAGAATCTCAGTGACTAACTTCTCATTGTATTTTGTGTCAGCTTTGTCATTATCCCACATTAGTGCGGTGGTGACCGCCTGAGGTTTCAGAGCGATCCATGTCAATGTCTTCAGGTCAAGAGATATAAAGTCTTCTCCATCATAACCATACTGATTAAAACCATTAACCTCTCCAGTCTTATCATCCCACTCACATCCTAAAAGTCCCTGTAAAATGTGGATACCTGAGAGAGACAGAGACAGAAACAGAGACTGTAATTAACAATGTACAGAATACAGATGAAATATCCAGTGGAAAGATGATCTTATAAATATTGTGCATTGTGTGACACTTGTGTCTTGTGGTGTGATCATGATACAAGAGCAGATAATCAGTGCACCTTATCTGAGTGATGAAACCCAATTTATTTTTCACAGCTAAAAGTTACAATAGTAGCTACTGTTGTATGAATTGACAGATGACTGTCAGTGGCAGTATACAAAGTGGGTATGTTGAATTATATGCACATTAAACTCTTATTAAAACAAACTCACACCTGTGTGACACCTGCAGTCTCAGATGCAGTCCAAGCTCAAATTCATTAGTATGCACATGTTAGCTATCCTATATCTGTGTGTCAAACAACAAACCAGGCTGCAAATCATTTTAGTAGAAAAAGTAAAATATAATATACAGAAATACTTTACCTTCAGTTTGGTTGAGGTGCTGCTTCAAATTATTAATCCTGACTTTGAATATGTTTGGCCCATTCTCAAAACACTGCTGAGTGGACCACTCAAAGTGCTGAGGATCATCTTCAAATATTTTTTTCACCCAGTCCTGTTTTGGTTCGACTTTCTTTTTGTTGATGTCACAGTAACCGACCAGACTTCCATCAACCTCTAGAGATCCCACAAACTCTGATATGTTTGGGACTCCACTGGATCCAGTTATAAAAATCGTCATTGAGTGTTTCACTGCAGGACAAACACAGTTTATACATTCAGTAAAGACCCATCATGAATCTGATGTATTCAGTCAGCAGCCTATGATTCTATTAAAACATATAAAGTCAGTCTTATGAAGTTTAAGTAATAGTGAAACTAAAGTGCTGTTTTCTGGAGCTACAGGAGCCAAATGCACTCTGTGGCTCACGTTATCGCAGTCAAATGCAGAGCCGAGTGGAAAGTGAAGCAAAGAGCTTAAAGAGTTCAAATGTGATCTTACCTGCTGATGAAACGTGACAGAAGAGAAGCAACAAAAATAACGTTTTCATCTTGATTTGATAAAGTCGGGTGGGTAACGGACCGAGCTGCGGCTTCCTCCTTGCGGACAGAAGTGGGACTCTTTCTGTTGTTAGGGGCTGTACGAGAGTTATTGAGGTCGGGAGGAGGGATGAATCTCCTGTTTCTGGATAGTCAAAGTTTATATTGAAGCCACAATATGGCAACGGACTACTACTAATACTACTACTAATATTCTCACCACAGCCAGGATTCCGAATAAGAAAATTAAACAAGTACATTAAACGTCAAAGCACACATTAAGAAGAGAGAGAGAGAGAGAGAGAGAGAGAGAGAGAGAGAGCACCAAACCAGACCAAACCAAATGATCAACCAATAGAAAGAAAACTATATTACATATTGGAAGGAAGCACAGACTAAATTAAAATGCTATCTGACCATAAAAAAGAGAATCCACATTTTTGATTTTCTGACCACAGTGAAAAATGTACTTGTGCACAACAATATTTTGCCACCACCCCGGATTCCTCATTAGAGAATTAAACATGAATTGATGAGGTGATGTTGTTGGCTGATATGTTTGAAATCAGCTGTTTGTCATAATCTAACTAATTTGATGTTGGATGGTCAGGTGTGTCCTCCAGAGACGCTGCAACGGGGCAGGCAACCCAGGCAATAGCCTAGGGCCCCGAGCTGAAGGGGGCCCCGAGGGACGGCTGACGTCAATGACAAAATAATGGAACTGCTTTAGAGTCTGCAACGACAACCCATCGGAAATCCCCCGCACAGGGCCCTTTCCGAGTTGTCACTGGCTTGTTGCTAGTAGGGGGCCCCGAGGGACGGCTGATATCGCTCCATATCAGCGACACAACTTGAAACCCGTAGACTCTGCAATGACACGTCGGGAATCTCCCTAATGGGGCCCCCTGACTAATAAAAACCGTGACAGGGGTAAGTGGGAATGTGTAAGCTACGTGTGTTACATTATAAAAAAGTAGTGCTGCCAGCCAGCCTGTTACTTTATCCCAAACTCCCAGTCATCCACCAAGCACCAAACAAGTTTACTGCACATTAAAGTGTAAAGTGAATTCAGCCATTTTCTTCTAAACACATTCATAGCCACACAATAAGTTAGTCCTTTGCTGCCAGTGCCAATGATATTTTCTCCCAGAATAAAGCATTTGTTGTCAAATGTTAAAACTGATACCAGCATCAGTTCTGCTGTCAGTTTAGTTTAAACTGGTGCTAATTTGTATTTGGAATTATGTTTTTTAAATGTGAGCTGCTGGACGACTGAACTTCCCTTAAAATAAAGTAAATAAATAAATAAAGTATATCCTATCCTATATATCCATAAATGTTTTGCTATAGCCTAAATGTTACATTAAATAAAATGTTAACATGAAGCATTAAAGTTGTAACTGCAAATGGATGTTCATTAATTATTCCATACAGATCTCAGATGTTGTGTTTGTGTAGCATGCACAGTTCTTTACTTTACTTTACGCAAGCCAACCAAATACATTGTGCTCTTTTCTTTTTTCTTCCTCAAGGTGCTTTGTTGAAGTTTTTTGGCCCACAACAACAACAGCAACAACAACAACAACAACAACAACAACAACAGCAACAGCAGACCTCTACAGGAGAGGCTCACAGGACTGACACTGATTTCAATAGAAAGAGATAGATATGGAAGACATAGTGGCTGCATTTGCAGAAGCCAAGGTTCGCAAGCAGCAGTTTTAAGAAAAAAAAGGAACTACTATTGGACTGTGGATATAGGACCAAGGTGTCACAGCAAGTCTTAAGTTCTTCCTTTCCACTTCAATTCCTTGTTTGTTTGTTTTTTTGCTTGGTTGTTTTTTTATCATTCTGAAAATTTTGCACAGTTCAGTTATGTTTGTTTTTCTGTTATTTATATATTGTATGTAAAGTTTGCATTCAGATAGTTATGTTATTTATTACTTATTTTATATGTTAATTGTTTAATGAAAGATTTCTTTACTGATCCGTAGTCCTGGCCTTCATTCATCATGATTCTGGGGGGCCCCATGGTCCTTCTTGCCTAGGGCCCCCAGGGGTCTAGAAACACCCCTGGTGTCCTCCAGACAGCTGTTCCAACAAGCTCACAGTTAAATGTTAAAGCACACATTAATACTGTTGGTAAATTAAAGTCCAGCACTTGCTGGCGTGCAGACGACAGAGATAAATAAAAGAAACACTAATTAGATTTCCAATGTAGTTTTATTTGGTCATCAAAAGTAAAATAACTCATATCTGGATTAACATAAGGGATTAACACACACACACACACACACACACACACACACACAGAAAACAGACTTACTCTTAAAAAAATATTATTATTATTATATATTTTAATAATATGCAGTTATGATCATTTTATATTCAGGTGCAGTTTTACAAAGGTGCAAACTCACGCATTGTACTCTCTGTTATAACCAACCAGAAAGATGGGTGTAGAGGTCTGTAGGGTTACACATCAGCAGCCTGTTGTCGTATTCAGGTGATTTAATAAAGGTTAATAAGGTCCTGCTGCCTTCAGGTGCTGCAGGGATTTCATGAGCTGGAGGAATCCCTAACAGACTACCAACTCAAAAATGAACAAATAAATGAATAAATAAAAGAAACATGAATTAGATTTCCAAAGTAATTTTATTAGTTCAAAAGTAAAATAACTCATATCTGGATTAACAGGAGAGAATTAAAACAGAATTCACATTGGACATTATTCATTTTGTGAAGTTATTCTTCTGTTTCTGGCAGCAGTGGAATTTGACCATTTTATGATACTCTATATTTGACTTATGACTTATATGTGTATAGGAACTTGATTTTTTCTTCTTTAATACTCTGATGATCCCCGGCCTCTCTACAACCACTGGACCAGATTACCGAACTGTATATAAAATAGTAAAAACTAACACCACCTGTAGTATTATAGCACACAGTAAGAATTAAAACCAACTCTGCAACAGCACAAACTTCTATAATTAAGTGTGGATTCAGATCTCTGTCATCTAAAACTCTAATAGGTCAGAAATTAATATCAGATTATGATAATGATTTATTTAGTCATACTGAAAAAAATCAAATTAGAAATCCTGACTTTGAATGAGTTTGGCCCTCTCTGAAAACACTCTTTAGTAACACTCAAAGTGCTGAGGATCATCTTCAAATATTTATCTTTATTAATTTGTGTCTGATGCTCCGAACCACATCATGCCAACCACCCACATTAATTCTTGTCATGTGGAAAGTTTCCAATAACTAGCTAGAAAATCACAGCCCTCAGTTTCTCACTTTCAACAGAACATATGTTTTGAGCTTGATTTAGAACGTTGTATATTGTATATTGAGGTTAAGTTAAAGACTGTCAGTAGTCTATGTAAGATGAATGCTCTTTTGAAGGTACTGTAATTTCACACACACTTTTAGGTGAACAAAACCTTTACTCTGAATAATAAAAATTTAACTATCATTGTTGTTGTTTTTTATTATTATGAACTCTAACATTTATGGAACCACAGCATTTTTGAAAGGTTGTGTGTGTTTAAATGTCAGTTACCTGTTGTTGCTGTATCTGTTATTACTTGTCTGCCAGGTAAAGTCCAAAACACAGTGTGAGAAACAGAATGTGACACATCAGATGTTAATTAAAACCTGCTTAACCTGTTTTATTTTGCTTTTGTTTTGGCCCCATAGATTTAAGGTGGAGTTTGTGTTGAGTCTGTTAAGTTTGACTTGTGAAGTTTCAAATCTTTTGATACAGAAATAGTTGGAACACTGACTTTCTCTGACTGACCTCCTTCTGCATTATTACACAACAAAGCATCAAGCATTTTTTCAGGGGTGATATAAATTATATAGGGTAATATATAGTAACAGTGCTGACATTTAATGATTTAGTCTTATGCATTACCTTTGTATATAAGAGTTTATTGTCGTATGTTGCTCGTATATATTTTGCTTCTAACTTCCATCCCAAATACTGACTGTGAATAATCATGTATTTTAACATGTTCACATGATTTCACTCTCAGTTTCTCAGTTTTCTACTTCATCTTTTGTTTCAATATCTTTCTAAACATAACCTATGAGCTCAACAGAAGCAAAGGGTGACAGTTGTGGATTTTTAAAAAGTTATATATTCAGGGGGTTCACTAAGAGCAATGCTCTCTGTTGAGAGGAACGCCCTGATCGCATTCACACAGTCACACAATCATACCTGGAAGCTGCCCAGCACAGTCTGACCACAGTTTAGCCATCAACTTGCTTCTCTAACCTTTTGGCCACCACTGTAATTTCATTTGGCCTGAAAATGTTTTTTACATGCCACCAAGCTTTGAGGTTGTTAGAATGCACTCTTTACACAGCTATTGGCTCGCTGTTTCCTCCATAGAATTCATGCTAAGCTAAGCTAACCTTGTCTGGGAGCAAACTTTGTCCTCTGTGAGTATACAGGATGCTGAGCTAATATTCATGTTACTGCAACTACAGTCACAGATGTGGACAAAAGAGAGCTTTTAAACATATTCTTTTATTGTGAAGTGAAAAATCAGCACCAATATAAAGAGCATTACAACTGATTATGACATGCATTTGTCAGAGGTTAGGTGAATATTATAAGGAAGGCCAGTATTCATGATCAATAATGTTTTCACCTATCATTAGCCCCTGCAGTGGGTATCAAGCTGTGCCGTCATTAATCTATGGACCCCTCTGACCCACATCATTCTCTAACTGACCTAACGTAACTTTAAGCTTTTATATTGTCTTTATATTATGCATAATGTATTTATATTATCTGCTCAGGCTCATCTACATTGGTTGGCCCAACTGACTTGATAAGAAACTTCATTTGAATGCGATAGCCCACTCAGTAATCCAACCACCATTGCTGTCTATCTGGTTCCAGTACAGTAAATTCAGTCCAAATCTCCCATCCTAAACCTACTGAAAGAAAAGGAAATATGACCATTTGGAAATAAAACGATTGAGTTCTAATGTAGTTCTATAGTTCTATTCAAGGTGTTACTGTGCCACAATAAAGTAATATTTTTGAGTTTAAACATTTTCATTTAGGTGGTTTTCCAAGCAAATATTGGTATATGTGATTGTTATTAGATTAGTGTATGTTTCTGCCACCCCTTAATGTCTCCATGTCAACCTCTTGTCACACATGGATATTTCTCTAGCTCCGCCTCTGATTCTCTGATTGGGGAAACACATGGTATGATATAATATACCATAGAATTATTATTATTATTAGTATTATACAATCAACACACAGTCTCTAACCCGACCTAACCTAGGCTGCCTTTAAATCCTTCATTCACTCAAGCAAACAGCAGATACTTTGCTGTATGACATGGCTTTATATCTACATTGTGTCTGCTCAGGCTAAACTGCAACTTCATGTGAATGCAATGGCCCGCTCAGCAGTCCAACCACCATCACTGTCTATCTATTTACACTAGTCTTACTAAAAGCCACTCGTTTAAAAAACCTGTGGTATGAGAAAGTTTTCCTCTGACCTGTTGCACCAAATCTATAACCTATAAAAGATCATATTTTCAACAAGAGGTGATTTTGAGAATTGTATACAATGTTTACAGAAACCTATAGTTCTTGTAGTTATTCCAAAACCATAAAATATTATTCAAACATGATCAAAAACATTAATTTAAGGTATCTAAAACATTATTGCATCAATGTAAAATGAAAAGATGGGTAAAAGAAAAAGAATTGATTTGTAAAAATAATCAAGCAAATTGTTTTTATATTAGATTTAGAATATTAATTATAATAATGTGAAATAAACGATTACATTTAACATTTACATATAAAAACCATAAACTACTACATCACTTTGTGACAGGAAGGCATGTTTTAGTCAGTCTAAGTTCTGTAAAGCTAAATAAAGTGACACGTGTTATATGAAGGAACTTCATTGAGTGCGTTTCACAATCAGGTCTCTGGATTCAGTTTCTCAGAGAGCTCCGATCTGTCGTCAGGAGCTGTAAGGTCAGAAACAAACAGCGTCAAACAGTGAAAGTCCTCTCATCCTGCACTCAACTTTTATAAACAGTAAATACAGGAAACAGTCTTTAAAAGTTCATCTGCACAATAATGTGAAACCCTGTTTAATCTAAAGCATAAAGTGTGAGTCAGATCAGTTGAAAATAAATAAAAACAGGTTTAACTTACGAGATGGAGGGCATTTGGCTGAAATCAAAACAAAAGACAAATCATTTCTTCACCTTATCCCCAGTGAATATGATCTTCTCTTCTACTCACTAAAACTACTCATCACTTCTCTCCCACATCATCTTGGTAAGGTCAAATTATCATGACTCACAGGCTCTGAGCCTGACACTGCTTACTGTTGGTTGCTTTAAATTCTGTGGTGCAGGGAACTGATGCTTGTTTCTGTTGTGCAACCTGGATAAAAGCATCAACTCAAAGACTAAAATATACTGAACTGAAATCTTTCCATTTTCTCTCTCACCTTTCTTCTTTTTGTAAGCCATGAGTCCAACTGCAGTGATGAGGATGAGTACAAGAACAACTGCTGCAGCAGTGATGGGCACGGTCATGTCACTGGACTTCTCTGTTGAACAAGAAAGCAACCAAATAAAAACAAGACCAGTACAGATAAAGCAGAACAGAAGTACATCCATCCATTCAACAGTTGATTCATACATACGTATGGGTTTGTTCCTGTGGACTACTAGTATAGTATAAGATGCATAGACTAGTGTATTGATATTGTTATTGATCGTCCTGGGTTCGCCTAACTGTATAAACTTAATAAGGAACCAATAAACAATTTCTAATGTTTCTAAAAAACAGATTTTCTGAAAATTGGTTCAGAATTTAGCAGTGCCTGAATTGTACAGAAAAAAGTTCCAGTGCCCTAATGCTGCACAACCCTAACCCTGATTCTTCTGGCCTTTTTTATCCTTTTCAATAAAGGACATTTTCAGTGCTGTTTGTCAACATTTTCAGTTACTGTATTGTGATAGAACGTTATAATTCCATATACTGCGATAGAGGATTTTGGCTATATTGCCCACCATTATTGTGAGTCACCACAACCACGAGAGGTCCTTGAGCACACAGTCATACATGTGTACAAAAGAAATGAGGCTGAGGTCCACTAGAATGCGAGGTTAGCTGTAGATTGATACAAACACAAACCACCAACAGGCATGCAGTCCCATTCAGCACACTCTAATGTCAGTCTTACCCCAGTTGGTCCTGATCTCTGCTTTGTCCAGTTTGGTGACGATGTCGTTCTTCACACCAGAGAGCTGAAACACACAGTCGTACCTCCTCCAGTCTTCAGGTGTGACTGATGAAAGGTTCAGGTCAACACTCATCTGGAAGGATCCATCATGGTTGGGGAGGATCTCTCCGTGGTCCACGTCCTCATGAAGCTCCTCTCCATCTTTCCTCCAGATGAGTGTGGCACTGTCAGGGTAGAAACCTGTAGCGTGGCAGCTGACTGGAGAGGGGGGAAGTCTTCTGGAGGAGAGACACTGAGGGAAGGTCTGGGAGAGAGAGAGAGAGAGAGAGATGAAAGGCCCTCATAACAACCACCACATTGTCTCTATATAGACAAATGAGAGAACCACTGAAGAAACTCACTCCAGTCAGAGAAGAAGGATCTGCCTTTGTGGTTCACAGCAAAGTACTCAAACACAGTGTCAATATTCAGTGGAACTATTTCTATTTTGAAACACTGAAACTCTGTAAACTGATTTAAGTCATACTAAAACACTGACTGTCACAGTATCAGCTTTGATTGAAAGTAACCTCAGAGCACCCAAAAATGTCTCTACTGACTGGTTAGGACTAAATCAAATCTTACTGCACAGAAAACTGCCATAAGGTAATGTCACACTGATTGGAGTAATAATAATAATACAATGGCAGTTCAGTCTGAGCAGATTATAGGAACATTGTTGAGTTCATAAAACTAAATCAGGTCATGTGATTCTACCTTTTCTCTGCAGAGAGCTGTTGCCAAAGACCAAATACTTCTTCAGGAACCCAGGGAAAATCTTAGTGAGGTAAATCTTATTGTATTTTATTCTAGCTTTGTCAGTATCCCATCTCAGTTTGGTGGTGACAGCCTGAGGTTTCGGAGCAATCCATGTCAATGTCTTCAAGTCAAAATATATGAAGTCTTCTCCATTATAACCATACTGCAAAAAACCATTAACCTCTCCAGTCTCATCATCCCACTCACAGCCACTCATCCTCTGTAAAACATGGGCACCTGAGAGAGAGACAGAGACAGAGACTGTAATTAACAATGATGTACAGATGAAGATGATCTCACAGATATTGGGCAGTGTGTGTTGCACTTCTATTTTCATCTTCATCTCGTGGTGTGTTCATGATTCAAGAGCAGATAAGTGTACTTTTTCTTTATATGAGTGATGAAACCCAATTTCTGTTACACATTATTTTCTTTTGTCGACCATGAACTACAACATCCCTGGTCTGGCCAGCTGAAGACTTTTGTTGTGTCTGTCTCCCCCTCATTGTCTTTATTCCCTTAACTGCTGCTTTCTAATAAAGGCATACAATTAAAATAAAAGTGTCACCTGCTAAAACACCTGCAGCATTGGATGCAGTTGAGTGACCACATAAGTCTGACCAGGAACTTATTGAAACATAGTTATTGTGTAACTTCTATTACTAACTGGGAAAGGTGGAAGCTGCTAAACTTCAGGGAGCCTGAAAGCTCCGGGCTTATTGCAACCCTTGTTGTGTCATCTAGTAGTAAAAGACCTTTTAGAGCCATGTATGACGGTTGCTTTTACTGACTGCAAAACTTTAGTGCTTGATAAGAATCACCTGACTGGCTAATGTTTAACAAACATTATAAAAACTTTGCATTTTTAATTAGTGTAAAGATTTAGTTTTTATTATTATTATTTAGATTTTGTGTATGAAAGTTATATTTTGTGTGTGATGACGACTTTCATTGGTCTAGAGAGGTGGATAAAGTTAGTTCCAAATGTTCCAGATACAATATCAGAATCTTACGTAGTTGGTATGTTATTATTACAACACAAAACTCGAGTGTGAAGGTGTGATTCTTGGACTGAAACCTGTACAGATGGATGTTAAGCCCCTTCAATCAAATTATTTAAAGAAATCAATGAAGAAAATGGAGGCTGTACTTTTCCTGTTTGTTTGTAATTGTGAGGATATTTTGACTATAGATGGATGTTTTGAATTTCTCAGTATGATGAGTAGTTTGTGTTGGACAGAGCAAACAAGTCTAACCAGGACCTGATTTATGGATTACATGCTGACTGGCAGCTAGTGGTTCCAGTTTTCAAGCAATGTGATGGGGTCTATTTACTTTACAACTAAGATGCAGAACAGTTTAACGTAAAAGTGAAATATAACATAGTGGGCTACATACTGTACCTCCACTTTGGTTGAAGCGCTGCTTTAAATTATCAAGTGTGGTTTTAAAGAAGTGTTGGCTCATGATCTGAACATTTTGTAGTGTACAACTCCAACTGCTGAGGATCATCTTCAAATAATTTTTTCAACCAGTCCTGTTTTGGTTCTACTATCTTTTTGTTGCTGTCGCAGTAACCGGCCAGAATCTCATCAACCACTAGAACAACCGCAAACTCTGGGAAGTTTGGGACTCCAGAAGATCCAGTGAAGAAATACTTCAGGGAGTGTTTCACTGCAGGAAAAACAAGGTTTAATACATTTATACACACACACATTTTAAATATGATGCAGGCTATTCAGTATGATTCACATCCCCAACATACAGTCTTATCAAGTTGAAGTAAAACTGAAACTAAATTCTTGTTAGTCTTTGAGCAAAATGCAATAAAATAAATATGTTAAATGTGATCTTACCTGCTGATGAAACGTGACACAAGAGAAGCAACAAAAAGACGTTTTTCATTGTGTTTTTGGTTAAGACTTGTGGGTAAAGAGCGAGCTGGGTCCGCTGTGGTTTCTACTGTAATGTGAGCCACAGAGTGCTGAACCGTGATAAAGGGAGCTGCTGTCAGAATGTCGTTGCACCTAAAGGTTTATTACAGTAGGCGTGGCCTAAAAGATACATATACGGGTTTTATATTATGTCCCAAACAATTTGGACATTATATTACTGTACTTAGGTTGTTTGTTTGTTTGTTTGTTTGTTTAGATAATTAAGGGCAATTTTTATTTTACTAATCATGAGTTCATCATATTGGGACCTAAACTACATTAGTAAAGTACATTCATATTTTATGCCAGTAAACAGTATTACAAATGTAATGATAACACACAGGCTTCTTGGACTTTTATTGCACACCTATGAGACTAAAAGCATTAAAATCAGAGAGGTGTTGTGGTGCTTTGGCTCCAGTCGTGAAGGGCTGCTGTTGCCACCAGATGTCACTGTGCTGCTGCATTTGAAGCCCCAAAGCTCCAGACAGCTTCATCCACCTCTCACTAGTTCTGACTTAACTAAGAACGAGTGATATGTATTGGAGCAAGAGCATCCATTACTAATGATCTTAAAACAATCTATTTGTGACAAACTGGTGAAAATACAGCCTCTCTTTTTATCACTCTCAAAGACACCACCTCCCTCAACAAATGCTAGTTTCCCCTTCAACCATCGTCCCCTTCATGCTACTTCCAACAACAACAACAACAACAACAACAACAAAAATCAGTCATAAAGTCATAAAAAAAGTATTAAAATTAAAGTGATTATTCATTTGTATGATGAATTGTTGTGGAAGAATTCAACAGTCTCACTGCCTGAGGGAAGAAGCTGCTCTGCAGTCTGGTGGTCCGGCAGCAGAAGCTTCTGTACCTCTTCCCAGATGGCAGCAGGGTGTGTCTGGGGTGGGTGCTGTCTTTTAGTATCCTTTGGGCTCTGTGCAAGCATCTCACCTCAGCAGTATCACTGATGCTGGGCAGCTGAGTACCAATGATCTTCTGGGTGGTTTTAATCACCCGCTGCAGTGTCCAGAGTGCTGAGTTGACCGAGGGAGAATGTGTTGTTGAATGCTGAGCTGAAGTCATCCTACACCACAAACTGTACAGTGATATCACTCTTCTCAGCTGTCAGTCCTATAAACTGGCATCAGGACGTGTGTGTGCTCACATCAACCTTGGACCAAAGAAAACTCGCTGTGCATAACTGATCATAAAGTTCCAAGAAAACAGCCACCGTCAACATGTTTCACACTACGTACAAAGTGAATGTCACATACAAATGGAAATAGTCTCAAACACAAGGTTTAACATACTTTAAAGATTTCAACAAAAGCTTTAATTACAGATGAAAATAATATACAAGCAGAATATTTACAATAAGTTTTGATGTTTTTTATTTATAAGGAGGGTTATGAATGAATGGATTATTTAGAGGATTGTTATGGAGATGAAAATTTGAAGATGTATTCAATTGAGCAAACCTTATCGGACTTTAGCCAAATTCTGTTATCACAAATGCAAATGCAAACACATCTACCTGCATGGTTTGATATCATTAGAGGTCATTTTGTGAACCACAAACCTGAAGAGACGGAGAGAATAATCACATAAAACAGAATTAACTTCATCAGAAATATTTGGAAAGTTCAATTCAACGAAGGTTATAACATTGTATCAGTACCTGAGTATTCTGATTTCAATGAGATCTAAAATATTCACAATTTTACAACATTTTAACAGATGGCTGCTTTTAAAGGATTATTTCTTGACTTTATTTTCTGATGTGAGCATCAATGCCTCATTTAGCTTGTTTTTTCTCTTTATAACCTCACTTATCTTTATCTACTGTTGGTCATAGGAAACCAGCTCTTTGTCAGATATTTTCTTTGCAGCTTTAAAGTGATTCAGAGGTTTTACAGTGAACGACAAAACAATATCAAACTGCTTTAACTGGAGGTGTTAGGTTCACTGTTTTGTTGTCCCACATGATGTCACTGTGTGCAGGGTGGTGTGTTTGCTCGTGATGTTTCTGGATTCAGTTTCTCAGAGAGCTCAGAGCTGTTTTCAGGAGCTGCAAGGTCAGAAACACACTGTTAGTCCTCTTCTCCTGCACTGAACTACCTCAGCTCACAATGTAAAGAACGTGTCAGAGACAATAGAATAAAAACAAGTTCTACTTACGACGTGGAGGGCGATTGGCTGAAATAAGAAGAAAAGATCAGAAGAGTTTAAAATGCCAGAAAACCTTTTGTCTCATTTTCCCTTCTGAATGTAATTCTTTCATATAAAGTGAAACTCATTTATATGTTATTAAAGGTTTAACTCGGCTCATTCTAGTCTCTCACCTTTCTTCTTTTTGTAAACGATAAATCCAATCGCAGCAATGAGGACGACAGCAAGAACAACCACTGTAGCAGTAATCGGGATGGTGATGTTACTGGGCTCCTCTGCTCAGCAAAAAACAACACAAATAAACAAAAATGATCACAACATGTGAAGATGAAGCAGGTTAAAAAAGATCTATCCATCTGTTCATCACACTTTCACATTGTGAATAGAGTATAATACAGTAGTCACTGGTGTGTGTGAGCAGAAATATACAGCATTTAAAGGACACAGCTTACTTCATGAATCTCCTCTCCATCTTTCCTCCAGATGAGTGTGGCACTGTCAGGGTAGAAACCTGTAGCATGGCAGCTGACTGGAGAGGAGGGAGTCTTCTGGAGGAGAGACACTGAGGGAAGTTCTGGAGAGAGAGAGAGAGAAAGAGAGAGAGAGAGAGAGAGAGAGAGAGAGAGAGAGAGAGAGAGAGAGAGAGAAAGAGGAATGGAAAAGTGTTAGAGAAAGATGAAAGGGGAGAAGGGAGAACAGGGAAGGGAATAAAACAAGGGAATAGACAGATGAAGAAATTCAAGAGGGAGGAATCAAGATGAGTGAAAGAAAAAATGGGACAGAGATAAGCAATGAAAGACACACTGTATCTGTCTGCATTATGAGTGGATGGTCCTGTACTTGTACAGCGCCTTTCTAGTCTTCCGATCACTCAAAGGGCTTTAACACCACGTGCCACATTCACCCTTTCACACACATTCACTCAGTGATGGTAAAGCCCATCAAACAGAAACCTCGGGAGCAATTCGGGGTTCAGTACCTTGCTCAAGGACACGTTGACATGTGGAGGGAGGAGCCGGGGATCAAATCAACAACCTTCCGATTAGTGGATGACCCACTCTTCTTCTAAGCCACAGCCGCCCAACCAGAAAAATGTTACCCTGATGGTGGTAGAAGATAAGCAGTAATCCACCTCAGGTATGTTAAGCAGCCTAAAATAGTAGTACTGTTAAAATCCTAATGATACCCATCCATACAATCTGTGTAAACTTACTTACCTCATGTCTGGCTATCACAGTATCAGCTTTGATGGAAAGTAATGTAGAGCACCTGCAACTGTCAGTCTCTGATTGGTCAGGGCTAAATAAAATAATACCTTCAATAGCCAAAAATAAGATAACGTCAAACTGATTGGAGTAATAATACAATGGCAGTTCAGTCTGAGCAGATTATAGGAACATTGTTGGGACTCATTCTCACAGAATCAGGGGCTATTTCACTGAAGCCAGAATGCCCCTGCGTATGGAAAATCCAACATGGGATGATGATGACAACCAAGGATATCAGGACTCAATAACAGCACTCTGCACAGAGATTCAGACCGCGTTCCCAGTTCCACAAGACATGACCGCTCTGGAACTGATGAATCAGGGCTCAGACGAGGCTGTGGGCGTATTCCTGGCGCGCCTCACTACTGCAAGCAGTAAATGCTGCAGTGCATCCGCGCACGCCTGAAGTTTCTAACCCACATACCATTCTGTATCTCATCCCACCAGACGCAACTCATTTTCCGGTTGTTGATTTGGCCAATGCATTTTTCTCCGTACCCGTCCATCCTGAAAGTCAATATTGGTTTGCATTCACCTTTCAGGGGTGTAGCTACACCTGGACCAGATGTGCATAAGGGTACTTGGAAAGTCCAACGTATTTTCATCAGCAGCTGAGCCTAAATTTGCAAAATTTAGAATTTCCATCAGGTTCTGTCTTATTAGCTCATGTAGAATACCTTATGGTGGCCAGCCCCTCAGAGGAGGCATGCAAAACAGACACGGTTGCACTATTAACATTTCTGGCTAACAGCGGTCACAAAGCCAGCTTGTCTAAATTGCAGTTTGTTCAGACAAAAGTAACATACCTGGGACATGTGATCACAGCAGAGGGCAAATCCCTCTCTCCCAAACGAATTGCAGGATCCCTAATTATTCAGAGCGAGAGGCACCCCTCTCAGCTACAGTCCATGGCAAAAAATTGACAGCTCATGGCAAAATTACATGGACCCCAGAAGCAGAAAAGGCCTTTGTAGATTTGAAAAGTGCACTCATAAATGCTCCAACACTTGGCTTACCAAATCCAAATAAGCCATTTGTACAGTTCATCGATCAAAAGGGTGGATATGCCACTTCTGTCCTCTGCCAGAAACATGGAGATAAACTCAGACCTGTTGCTTATTTCTCTACAAAGCTAGATCCAGAAGCAACAACAACCCTCCCCTGCCTTAGAGCTGTAGCAGCTGCAGAGAAGGCAGTGATAGCCTCTAGAGATTTAGTAGGCTATTCTGAGCTCATACTTATGGTACCACACACTATAGCTCACATTTTGCACACACAAGATGCTGTCTGCGCAGATAACACACCACATTGTTGGAAATGCCTAATGTCACTGTCAAACGATGTTCTACTCTAAATCCTGCTTCTCTCCTCCCAACACAGGAAGATGGCGATGACTCAGAAAACTTTCATGACTGTGTGCAGATTCTGGAGGAAGAGTGTTCACCAAGGGTTGATCTGTCAGACACACCTCTCCCAAACGCTGACCTTGAGTTGTTTGTAGATGGTTCTGCATCAAGAGACAAAACAGGCGTCAACCAAACATTTTGCTGTTGTCACTCTGCATGCAATTGTAGCATCAGGCAAATTACCATCTAATTTTTCAGCACAAGCTGCAGAGCTAGTAACGCTCAACAAAGCATGCAAACACGCTGAGGGCAAAATAGTGAACATCTACACAGACTCTCATTATGCGTTTGGGGTGGTTCATGACTTTGGCGCCCTTTGGCGACACAGAGGTTTCCTCACCTCCTCTGGAAAACCTGTAGCTAATCAAAACCTTGTTTCTGATCTTTTGGGTGCTATAATGTTGCCAGCAACAGTATCTGTGATGAAATGTGATGCTCACACTAATAACTCTGATCCTGTGTCTGTAGGAAATGCTGCTGCAGATGCAGCAGCAAAGGCTGCTGCTGTGAAAAGTGACATGTTTCACATCCTCTTTTCCTCCTCACAGCCTGACGTTAACCCATGTGCTGATCTCCCCACCATCCAACAACTGGCTACCGCCGAAGAGAAGGCGCAATGGTCAAAAGCTGGAGCCACATTTTCTAACAAAATTTGGTTCGGGCCTGATTTAAAACCATGTTGCCACATGCCCTCTTTCCATTCTATGCTAAACTAGCACATGGAAAGGACCATGTGGGCAAAGGGGGGAATGAGTATAGCCATAAATGCTAACTGGTATACCAGAGGGTTTTCAACTTTTGCCTCTGATTACTGTAAAAGGTGTGTCACATGTGCAGCACACAATGCTGCGGGAGCTCCTAAGGTTATGCAGCACGGTCATGCTCTTCCCCAAGGCCCTTTTCAATACTGGATGATGGATTTCATAGAACTCTCACCATGTGAAGGAAAGAAATACTGTTTGGTGTTGGTCGACATGTTCAGCAAATGGGTTGAAGTTTTTCCTTCCTCCAAAAAGGATGATTAACTTTGGATATCATTAATTTTTGTACCTTTTGCTGTTGCTCAGAGATGCCTATGTCTCATTTTGTTATGAGATGTTTTCCCTAACGTGACTGATGACGTGGTATCTTAAATCTTGACTTGATATCAATGATGTTTAATTACCTGTGAGTTGTATAACCTTTAGCAGCATATGTTACTTTGATTACTATTGTCACTCTTTCACTAATGTTTATCACAACATTTAAAATGTTATTGCCAGTCACGACCAAAAATCTTTTATTTTTCTCTACTACTTAAGTGATCAGGTATGATCAAAAGAGGGGAGATGTAGAGGAAAAATTATCATTTAGTAAATAACCTTTGTATGAACTGTGATTTACTGTATTATACTGTTCTGTACACAGCATGACCAACTTTATTTCCTGTTGAACTGTACCCGACCTGATTACTATAAATGAATCAAATGAGGCATGACATGATGATAGGTTGAAGTATAGTCCAGCCTACACATGTCATGCTGACATGCACTGGATGAATACAGTAAATACCTGTGTAATGTAAGGTTGGAACATAGCCTGCTCTGGTTGAAATACAGCCAGGCCCGAAAATCTAAACTTTTATCCATTTTTGGTCTAAGACGGAAGCGGGCCTTTGCGGCCTTTATCTAATTGGTAGCGAGGTACTCAGCATCGATTCCTCAGCAGACGCTGACTGTCACTTTGTTGGTGCCGATGCTTCTGCACAGAAGCTGAATAAATATACAAAGACAAAGTTCTCTTTGTTTGGTTTTCCTTTATTCGGTCAAACTTCCACCACACAATCTTTTAGCCACTTCCCACATAATAATAGCAGTAATGAAATGACTGTTCAGTACTGTTCCTCCTTTGTGGATGGACATCAGTCAAAGTGAACGTTGGGCCATTTCCATATTAGCAGATTGGAACCCTGAAACACAAATGAAAGATTAGTATTATTATTATTATTATGCTCAGAATTTCAATATATAAAGTGCTATATCGAGCCCTATCACTGGAGATGTCAGAAATGTCATTTAAGACTATCAGAGGCACGTAATTAAAGAGGAAAGTAAAACTTGCATTGTTATGAAAATATTGTTCCTCACTATTATTTTTTCTTCTCCAGATGAAGAATCCACTGATGCCGACTGCCAACAGAAGCAGTACTACAGCAGATTTGATTAATAAAATACCAACTTGGGAAAGAAAACCTGGAAGTGAAACAACAGAACATTTACACTTGCATTGTTTGAATCTCAACAAGCCATGCTGTCTGGTTCTGAGGGTGGATATTGTTCTCTGTGTGAACTTTAAAGGATAGGTTCAGATTACATACAGATACATTACAGATATTATACTAGGTCCAAACTACAAACCACAGTCTGATTACTATTGAGATTTTTACATACAATACATTTACCAAATTATTACAATTAACATGTGTATTGCATTTGAATCACAATTTATATGATATACAAAAAACAAACTGCTTGTTGTTCTTCAGTGCCACTGCAATTACAGAGTTACAGCTGACTGCATTATTAAAGGATCATTGTTAGATGCACAGTATGTGAGGGAGAACTGCTTGTAATAGAAGGTTTAAGACAGCTATCTGATCAATCCTAGGTTAGGGATTACAATTTAAAGATCAATGCTGATATAATTAACCTCTGTAGTTATTATCCAGGTCTTTTTTTAATGGACAACATAACTGATACCAGTCTTACCCCATAGAGAACTGCTTGTAATAGAAGGTTTAAGACAGCTAGACAAGACAAAGTGCTAAGCTTAGAACAGGTCGGATAGATGAGAGGAAGTAACACAGCAGTGTAGCACAAGACAAGAGGAAGTAAGACCATTGCCTAGCACAGCTGTGTGGCACTAACAACAGAATAAGGAGACGTTTTACAGCTACTGTTGGGTCAAAGAAGTGTACAGAAATGCAATTGCTCCTATTATCGTATGGAAAGAACATGTAACTAGTGTAGCTGTAAGTATAAAGTAAGATTGTATGATCTTGTCCAGGCAGTCCAGAGGAATCCAGATAACCAGGAAGAGTAGGCAGAATTCTTAACACACCCATAAAAAGATGGCCCAGTGCAATGCATAGTGCGCCAAAGGAAACCACAGTTTCTGTTTAAACCAGAGTGAGAACACATCACAACAGTTTACCACAGTGACAGTAGAGAAAGTGAATTCTATGGGAATTAAAAAATGTCAATGTTACTGACAAACCTGAAGAAATGAAGACGGTCACATCAGGTCAACAAAAGTTAAATGCATGTGCAGCATATCGAGTAAAATAAACTAAATGGGAATTCCCACTGTCCTTACTTCTGATCCCAGTTTTGCCCCAGTTGGTCCTGATCTCTGCTTTGTCCAGTTTGGTGACGATGTCGTTCTTCTCACCAAAGAGCTGAAACACACAGTCGTACCTCCTCCAGTCTTCAGGTGTGACTGATGAAAGGTTCAGGTCAACACTCATCTGGAAGGATCCATCGTGGTTGAGGAGGATCTCTCCGTGGTCCACGTCCTCATGAAGCTCCTCTCCATCTTTCCTCCAGATGAGTGTGGCACTGTCAGGGTAGAAACCTGTAGCGTGGCAGCTGACTGGAGAGGAGGGAGTCTTCTGGAGGAGAGACACTGAGGGAAGCTCTGGAGAGTAAAGAGAAAGACAGTTTATAGACAGTATTTAGACTGTATTAACTTATATTAACATTAGAATTCCTGTAATGTATTTTAAAGGTTTTAGTAACAAACACACAATATATACAGGCATGCAACACTATACACCGATCAGCCATAATGAGAATAATTGTATAGCCATCACAATTTGGCCTTTGTCAAAGTTGCTCAAATCCTCATGCTGCCCATTTTTCCTGCTTCTAACACATCAACTTTAAGGACAAAATATTATATCCCTATATGCCTAAAATATCCCACCCACTGACAGGAGCCATGATAACCAGATAATCAGTGGCATTCACTTCACCTGTCAGTGCTCTATTGTTATGAAGTGTAATTGAGAAAAAGCAGGAAGGACAGAGGAGAAAAAGACAGATGAAGAGAGGTCAGATCAATTACAAAGGGAGGAATGGGGGGGGACAGTGAGTGTGAGACAGACAGAGAGAAAGAGAAAATGGAGGTCAAGACATAGAGAGGTGAGAGAGAATGAGAGAAAGAGCAATGTGTGTAAAGTGAGACAGAGTGAGTCTCTGTATGTTGGTGATATTTATTGTGATGTTACTGTTGGTTAGAAACTGAAGAGGAAGATGAAGATTGTTGTGTCCATTAAACTACATCAGGTCATGTGATTCTACCTGTTCTCAGCAGAGAGCTCCTCCCATAGTCCACATACTTCTTCAACCAGTCAATGCACTCCCGGATGAGGTAGTTCTTATAAAGTGCTATCTCAGCTTTATTATTATCCCACTTGTGTTTGGTGATGACAGCCTGTGGAACTGGAGCAGTCCATGTCTCTGTCTTCAGGTCAAAAGCTATGAAGTCTTCTCCATCATAACCCCACTGATCAT